TGATGGATATGAGGAAATGAGGATATATATAACACCTAAATAACGGTTATGGAAAGTGTCCCGTGAATCAGTGCATTTTACGTATTTTTGTAAAGTAAAAATGCTCCATTTTTGAAAAGTTGCAACTTATTATGAATATTCTAGATAGATTATTGGTTAGCACGGTTTATCTATTAAAGGAAGAGTCGAATTTTTGTTACAACACGAAATTTTTTGGCCCATATGATGTATAAAAATATTGGGTTCAGATGATATATAATTTGAGTGTAACATAATAAACCGTTTACATCAAACATATTTAGAATCAAATCAGTTATATATGTTATTGACATGCTTTTTAATCATCCAACACGTGCTATTTTTTTGACAGAATATTATTCACAAAATATATAATATCGTTTATATAATCTAATTTATTAGAATAATGTTATTTTTATCCAACGCTATATTGATCTAACATTCTTATTAATAACATTATTTTTATCCAACGACAATATTTCATAAATTATCTACTCACGATAGCACATAATCATATTCTAGTAGTAAATTTCCCAGAACAATATATATTATATCTAAAAGCAGTAATTTAAACCCAAATTAGAATAAATTATTATTTATTAATAATCGCAAAACAGACTTGTAAATACAAAAAAATGTGTCTAACAAAACTAATAATGTATATAGATTATCAATTTTGAATCCTTTTATTCGGCCCAATCCATTAGACATCATATGTATCCAGCACATCTAATCTCTCCCTAATCCTGAAATTTCAATAACAAAATTATGTAAATCTAAATTTATGAAATTTTTTTAATTTTTCATAAGTCAATTTAAACAAGACATAGAAACATACTTACCTATTGCGCAAGGTTAAAACTTCAGCAATAGGTGAATCATTGATAAAACGGGACACACCATCATCATCATGATCCTTGATAAACACATTCTCTAAAACATATATATTGGAATATTGTTACGTTATATACAACGATTTTATAAATAACATATTGATGTATCATCAGAAAGCATACCCCCGTCAATTGCTACACACCTTTCGGTTAACACACATATAGCAAAGAGACCTTCGTATTCTCTACACTTATCTCATATTTTCAGTTGTCAACTCACCGTGTGCAACACTCTAGCATAAAATCCCTATATTTTGACAAAAAATGTAGTTAAGAATTAGTTAGTTAGACTTCAAACATATAGTTTGAGATATACTACTCGTCATCTATTATCTTAAATCGATTTGATGATGAAGTCGTTCCATCCGGGTATGTAATAGTAAAATATCTAGCATTTTTGACGACTCCAATCAAATATGCGATTGTAATTAGTCAAAATAAAGACATGAGTTCGAACTATAAATTTTGCATTATACGAAGATACCAAAATATTCTTACCAATTAGATAATAATGAGCATCTGGGAATTCATAAATCGAGAGGAATGATACAAAATTATAGAACAAATTATTTGTTAATGATAAAGCTGGTGAAATCGTTGTTCCCTTTGTCAGTGTAATAACGTAGTCATGTTTTGTAATACTTTGGATATTAGTCTAGCTGTAAGGATTCAAAAGAAATCCAGTCAACATAAACCATTGATCTTCTTCGCATATCAGATTGAAATTAATGTTCCATCATCTGATTGTTTACCCGAGCCTGTATTCTACAACCCTAGAAGTTTATACAGTAACATTAAAACAACAAAAAAAAACAGATTAGTGTATGTTAAAACAATAAGCATAACTAACAATAAATATCACAAATACCATAATAGGTTATTGAAATTTACCCTTTCATCGACCATAATGAAATTTAGGCTTCGATTATCGTCCGAGTAATCCACCACCTATTTTTGAGTATCTTCACTATAATTCTTCAATCGGATATTTGAAAGTCCAATTGACGAACAAAATTATAATCCGCCATTGCGTGATGACTATCAGTTAGGGTTGTGCAATTTAGAGTATATTTTAAGAAAAAAATATGATTTTATATTAATCTATAACCAAAAATTAAGAATATTAAAATTTCAGAATCAATATAGATAAGCAAACAATATTATCTTCGATTTAAATAAATAAATATATATATAGAGATTTTCCTATTTAAAATAATGTTAATATTCCAATCCTCATTGTTACAAATTCTTAAAATTGTTTATTATAACACCATCTATATATTTTGAATGAAAAATTTACTTTAAAGAAAATTTACATTAGCTAAATGATAAACATCTACAATATATTTTAAAGATGATGACTTGTTACCGTGTTTTGATTTTCAAGAACGCGTAAATTCAACCAAAAAATTATTTCTTCAGTGAACAAACAAAAACAACTGTTTCTAGATTTTTATTTTTTCTTTCGTAGATGCCACAAAATCATATTATTTATAAAACATAGTGTTTAGTAGAACATGATAAAATCAACAACCAAAAAACAAAAAAAATGATAACAAAGATAATAATAAAAATATAAATTATAGCTAATACATATCTAAAACAAAGAACTGTTTCCATGCACTTCGTTATGTATCTTCACCCCAAGTCCTGAAATTAATATTTAAGAATATATGTAAACAACATAGTACTACAAAAAACTGTTTTAAGGGAGTAGGGTTAATGTCATAATAATTATCTTACTTTGCCCGAAATTCAGAAACTTCATCCATTGCAGAAGCAGTCATGAATGCGAAAGACCTTCTTCTTTCTGATTTTGGATAGTCAATTCTTCTAATAAAAAAAGAATCAATACGCATGATGATACCTATAAATTCAAATTATTTAGAGTTATATCAAATTGAAGGGTATACCTCCAGTTCTTGTAACACATCAATCGGTAAAACGCAGACGTCAAATGGACCATCATATCATATGCATTGTTCCTTTATGTCAGATGCTAATGAGCCATGTGCGATACATTCCAATGTATTATCCCTTCAAAATACATAATAGAGTTATTGTAAAACTAAATTATCATAACCATAGACAATAGAAAATAAAAAAAATGCGCTTACTCATTGTCATTAAGACGAAAACCAAGTGTCAGGACAATTTTTCCATCTGTCTGCACAACTGATATGAGATCTCTTACAATGTCAAGTATACCAATCAAATCTGAATAAACACAACATATCAGTAACACTACAGCAAATTTTTTAAAAATAATAAAAAAACAAATTACAATATATAATTATACTAACCAATAGGATATTCATGAGCGGAAGGATTATTGATAATCTGTGAAAATTGTACGAAACTGACGAATGCCTTATTAGATATTGGTATTATACGTGAAACATTTGTGTCGTCAGTCAGAGTAATCATAAAACCGTGTCTAGTTATCTTGTCGCGATCATTCCTGAGCAATCGGTTGAGATTAAACCGAGATAACATAATCCAGTGACCTTCATGGCAAACTCGTTCGAAATACTCGAACATCTGATTGTGAACAATTGCCTGAATTCGGCATCCCTACAATATAAGAAAAAAATATAGAAATCATAGAACCAATAAAGAAATATACAGAATCAGAGACTTATTACTACAAAGTTTAGTTTATAATAAAACTAACGTTCTCGTCAGTCATAATGAAGCCAAGACCTGGTAATCCCTGTGGATCGTTCACGCTCCACTTTTTCAAAACTTTAACCACAATCCTCCAGTCATCTCTCCATCCATTTATCTCATGAACCAAATCATAACTACCCATGTTTGTGAGAAGTTTAGAGAGAATAAAATATCAGAAAGTAGTTATGTTCTGTTGCATCGAGTCTTTATCAGATCATCTATATATATATATATATATATATACGTAACGTTTTTTAAAAATATGATTACGCTTAATGATGACGATTCATTAGAAACCGTTTACTTGAACCGAGTCTTTAAAAACGATTTTCATTATCCGTTATATATATATACATATATATTCGATATAAATACAATATGATCGCAACCACTAAAAACAAATTATCTATAACTTTATAATTTTTTAGAAATATAAACAAAACATAATCTATATATGTATATCTTCTTTCTATAAAATTTTAAATTTTGTTTTAATTCGAAGACAAAACATATGTGTATATATATGTTTTCATACCGATAAATCATTATTAAATAAAGGAATTCATGATTTTATTAGTTTTTTTTATTATTATTACAATATCCGAATATAAATTGGTTACTAAGGTATCTAAAAATATAGATATACTGGACCCATTAATTAATCATGACTTAATATTATTGATAAAGGTATACCGGATATTATTAAGCAAATAAACATCTAAACATTAAACGAATCTAAATCCCTACAAAAATATTACTGATTTCGATTTTTGTGAACAACCATAAAGATTAAACACGATTGGGTCCATATCGTAGAATATCTTTACTATCACGATCATTAAAGTTTTTATGTGCTCTTGGAAAAGACAATTATAGTTAGAGGTTTATTGAAAATTTATGACGACAGTCAATAAGTTTTCCTGTGACAAATAGTCGAAATATATATATGTTTACCTTAGGCAATTATCCTGATTTCTAGTATGTTCACTTTAGGCAATTACTCTGACTATACCAAAAATAATCAAAATATTTTCCATAACAAAAGCCACAAAAATCTTATAAAAAGGACATAGTCTGACATCGAACCTAACAATATGAGCTAATAAAAACACATATAGTACATAAAATATAGTTTAATAATACATCACAAAATTAATATATAAACAATAAGAAACTATTAAATAAAATCACTGATCTTAGTTTTAAAAGTAGGCATAAAACTACTAAGTAATGAGTTTCAGAATACAAAGAAGAAACAGTGAAATAGAGAGACAGAATAGAGGAGGTCTACAAATAACATCAAACAGTCGATGCTCTCGTCCGTAGTTGGTTCCGCCTACGAAAGTGATAAAAATTCATTACCAAAACGTTTTAATAAACATTGAAACAACAATATATAGAATCCAAAATTTTAAATACTCACGTCGCTCTAAATGCATCAACTTCTGCATCGACAGGATTGTACAAAAAATCTGAGCATAGATGATTAGATCGGAGAACCACAGACTTTTTATCGATACCTAAACAACAATAGAAAAAAGTTTTATTCAACATTCAGATTTTAAGACATATATGAGAAAATATGTATATACCTTGGCCATTTTTCATCTTCCAGAACCTTAACACCCAGACAACCGATTCACATGTGTTTCTCTGATATACATCATGGAGATTTATTGCTAGAGAACCACGGGCGTAACATGTTAACCGGCCTTCTATTCAGCCACAAGAAAAAACAATATGAAAAATGAAATATTTGGTAAAGACTTTATATGTTAACAGTCCTTTAGATATAAAACAATGGACATAATTCGTAATACCGTGTATCTACTATCTCAAATCGGAGATAAGCGAGATTCTCTTCATAAGCATCATTACTTGCATTGCAGAGTGGACTCATCTTCACAATAGTTCCCATAACGTCTGATAATAAACGAAATAATAAATTGAATCTAAATCTATTGTAAAACTTAACATATATGTTTAGAGATTATCATGCAAACCGATAAATTTGATTAATTCTTATAAAAAGTTAAAGTTGAAATTCTTACCAATCAGATAGTCAAAAAGAATGGCTCGATCCACAATATCATAAAATCGGAAGCAATGGAGATACAAATTGTACGACCTCGTTCAAATAGGGGTGATAATAGTGACAGAAGTTAACTGCGAACGATGTTTATTGATCGTTGTAAGCATTGATACAGTTGCTTCTTTAAAGTAAAAGTTGAAAATCCGAATTCACTGTCCCTGTTTGATTTCTTTCCATTGAGTGGGAAACTCGTTTGGTATAATGGTTGCAGCGATCCGAGTACCCTAGAAAAATAACACAGCCAAAAATAATCAGTGAATAGTAAATAGAAAACATAAAAAAAAAAAACTTCAAAAAAAGACACATACTTTGATATCAGACAGAACCATCTCGATAGTATTTCCTAAGAATGTTGAATGCTTCCAGAGCCTGACCACCTTGACAGATATTAACCACCCTATTTTGTAAGTATCCAAACAAGCAACATCGACAACATCAGACATTTTAGAAACCTATTTTTTTTCTTTTTTCGATCGAGAACTCTGAATGAGATTTATAAAGATGAAAACTAAAAGTGACGAAGTATGAGAAAGTATGTTAAAGATGAAAAGGACAGACAATGCAGTTGAATAGGCAGTTATTATTTCTTGTAAATTTATTTTCGTTTGAATTATTAAAAAAAAAATTTGAACAGTTACCATTTAAAGCCCCTTATTGTCAAAACCAACAACAATTCCACTAATTTATGTCAAGATATTTCCATATCGATATTGACCGATTTGTTCGTTTCACGTGTCAGAGAAAATATATTCCATGTTTTAAGTTTCACTAAGGATACACGCAACCTCAATAAGTAAATATACCATTTGACTAAATATATAATTTTGCTAAATTATAACACTTTCCATAAAATAATACGATATATCTCTATAACTTATGTTATTTAGACAATTTTATGTTTCAATATTTTAAGAAATGATATATTCATACAACATCATAACAAAAATGACATTTATGTAAACTTATATGTTATAACTTTATGTATCTACTTGGGCAATTTTCCTTAAAATTATATGAAACAGGAAACCTAGAAAGTCAAACGGTTAGGTGCAAACATAAAGTCGCATAATCTTCCCCATAAAAAATTGAAAAATGAGAAAATTGATTATTATTGCACACCTTAAAAATACTCACTTGAGGTTTTCTTTTCAAAGAACTTTAAAATATTTTATAAGTAGCCTTATCGTTTGTGAGAGCATTCATAAGAACATGGCGAACACAAATAAAAAAAAAATCGATGAAAATGGCTTGTTGATCATTAATCCCCCACCATTGGTAATGAGATTCGGTGTCGTGGAACCTAAGTCACCACCTTCACCAACAGATTCCAAGATCGAGCAAGAAGAATTATGGGAACAATTACACTTACTCACCGCATCAAATCCGAAAGCCAAACAGAATACTACTCAGGTAATATATCCTCTTCACTAAAGGTTATTTTAATCATGTCTTAAACAATGAATTGTAAAATCTGCATATTCTATTTATGGAGGATGACAAAGGCAACCCATCTAATGAGACATCCCAAGCAAGTTGCACAAAACGAAAAACACGATCTGATTCTAGATCTGGAGATAGGGTTGAAGTGCATGCATTTCGGTTTTGTGAGACAGAAATTCGACACATGGATACCGCCGAATGGGTAAGTAGTCAGAACTATATATAGATTAATAATGAAAAATTGTCTCAAATCTATGTGACTGAGTCATTATATTTTGTTATTGATTGCTCATTAAACTCTCTGTTTTAGAAATAATTCATGTTTAAATATAATATTGAGTTAGTTTAAATTTATATAATTTTACAAAAATTTAAATTGGATTGTTTGTGTTTGTGCTTGAAGGGAGAGGAGAAGAAAAGTAAAAAGAGGAGGTCTGGAGTTTAACCAAGAACCATATCAAATTCCATGTTGTTTGCAATGATCACTTTAAAGACAGTATGTACTTGGTTTAGTTTTCTAAAAACTATTAAGTTTATTTCGATGACATTGATAATTTGGTTTTGGAGCATTCACGATATTTATAACTACGTGACAATGTTCATCACATGAAATGTCAATAGATGTCCAATAATATGCTACAATTTAAGTTTCATTAAAAGATATTATCGAATTGTGTTTGTCATTGGAATATCCGACTACAGTTAAACGTGAGAGATCAAACCATTAATAAAAAAAAAAAAATTAAGAAAGCTGCTAAATTGTACATGGTGGAGTAATATATATAAGAAGAAAAAATGAATCAGATTGATTATACCGAGTATCTATACAACTTCCAATTTATATACAATATTTGGGTTCAATAAAAATTAATAGTCGATACCCATATCCATTAGTAACATTCTTTTGGTGTAAACCAATCAAACATAATGTAAATATATGGGCTTTACAAACCCATTTACGATAATAGATAATCTAAACTTAGTACATGATATAAGAATTATTTCAGGTCTAATTTAGTGAAAATTTAAAACGAATTACATCAGATCCAACTTAGTGAAAAATAAAAAAACATCAAATCTATTAGTAAAACCTATAAAACCGAACGTAATTATAATATAGTAAAAAGAACTAACATATTTCGAGATCCATAGAGAATAGATAAACAAAAAAAATAAATAAATCATATCTTGTCAAAAACTTCTTTGTAGACGACATTCAATGTTTTGCTTTGTGGTTTGTTATCTTTATCGGTGATCAATATCTTCAAACCTTCTCTGGATGTAACCCTCGACACAGCGACATAGAGTTGCCCATGATTAAATACCGGCCTTGGAAGATACAAACCAACCTTTTCGAGTGTTTGTCCTTGGCTTTTGTTTATAGTCATTGCAAAAGCTAATGTAATACGAAACTGCTTTGCGTCTCATCCTGAAAGGAAGTTTCATCTCCGAAGGAGAGGAATATCCTAGGAATGAGTACTTTGTCACCAACCTTGCTACCTGTTATTATCTAAGCCTGGAGAACATAATTAGCCATCTTAGTAATAATGAGTCTTGTGCCATTACACAACCCATTCTTAGGGTCGATTTTTATTAGAAGCATTACAGGAGTACCTTCTCTCAACTTCAGGACATGATTAGGAAAACCAGACATCTTGATACTATTTAAAAACTCCTCGGTATAAATCATATTGTTGGAGCCACCTTTATTCTTACTGGCTACACTTTCCGATGGTACTTCAGATGCATCATTGTAATTGACAACTTCTTCAGCCGTATCAATGCTATCACAACTAAGATAAGTCCTTTCAACACCTGTTATAAACAAAACAATTGTTGTATTATATCAATTTAAACAAGTAAGTTAAGAGGAACTAAAACAAAATAAACATACCCGACAACTTTGAAAGCATGTAATCATTTATCGTCTCTACATCATCGTTTCTTGGACTCAGTATGGCACGGTCTTGAAAAAATTTAGGATTAGTCTCTTTCGAAAACGAACTCCCATAAATTTCTTTGACGATCGTATTTATAGGATCTTTACAGTCTTTAATCAACAGATCATCAGGAATATCAATCACGGCTTCACCACTCCCATCATCATTTATCGTTCCATCATCAATGTCTAAGATCCACTTTGTAAAGGCAGCTCGTTCAAGCATTGCACGGCTACTATCTCCAGCTATAAGTCGCATGTTCTGTGTAAGTCTCAACACTCTACATTTGTACCACAGAGGTGACGAGTTCAAAGTGGCCATAAGTATCTCTGTCTTCCCAGCATTTGGAATCACTGGCAATATTTGCCTGAAATCCCTTCCCAAAACAATGACCTTGTCACCAAAGGGCTTGTCAACTTCTAATATATCACGCATCGTTCTATCTAGAGTCTCGAAACATTCTTTACTCATCATCAACGCCTCATCCCATATAATGAGTTTAGCAATCCTTATCAGGTCGGCAAGATTCGACTCCTTCTTGATTGAACAGAAGGTAAACTTATTAACCACGATAGAGATTACAAATCTTGAATGCGCAGTTCGGCCTCCTTCTAATAGCAACGCAGCAATCCCGCTCCATGCAACCTTAAGAACAACATCACCTTGGGAACGTAGAGCAGATCCTAATAGACTCCACAAATAAGTTTTACCAGTACCTCCAGAACCATAAACAAAGAACATACCTCCCTTGTTCTTATTTACTGCTTCTAGGATCTCATCATAAACCCTTCTCTGTTCGCTGGTTACAGTGGCTAACATCTGCTCGTTTCTAACTCTAAGAGTTTCGCGATTGTAATTCCTCTCATCCCAAATAAGAGGATTATCACGTGACTCCAGATTAATATCTTCAGGAAACGGCATAGGTGTGAATTCTTTTAAAGATCTCCCACTTACATGTAAAAGAAGTTCTGTTTCGACCAGAGTAAAGTCTTTAACTTGCTCCTGAGATAGACTAACAGCTACACAATTTCAAAACTTTACAAAAGATAAATAAGCTATCAATATCTTAAAGATATATAATAACAACAACGTAAACAATAACTATACGATTTACTTTGATCCCTGGTAGTCTTTCTGTAATTATATATGATGTCATCTGATAATACCTGCCATGTAGCATCCCAAAGTCTAGAAGGAATGGATATACTATGAGTAGTGAGCATGATCACAAAAAGACGACGGAGATAATTGGCAGAAAGCCACAATCCGGCCTCATTGATGGCCTTAATATATTCTTTGTCATCATTCAATAATCTATACGCACAGCAAGCGTCTTTGAACGAAGAATGTAGAACTTTGTTGACCATTTTTATATCGTCAAAACTACGTGGACCTTTGTTGACTAAATTAAGCAAAAGCCTTAAATAATACGCTTCACCTGCCCCAATGGGTACGTACGTAATTCTACCAAGAGCAATTCTCTTTGACCGTGGGGTCCATATCCTCTTTGGTCCATTCCATACAAATCTCGAAGGAAGTTGCGCATAAGTTAAGGTCCTCGTCAGTTCATACTCCTTGTTGCACTCCATCCAAGCAATAAATTTTGACGTACCAACTGAGACACGTTTAATAACCTCGTCACTTGGATCGTCCTTGTTGTATATGACCATTTGCTGGTTTGGTAAATGAAAGAGTAGTTTAACTACAGAAACCGTGTGATGGTGAGTACGATTACCGAAAATTCTCCACGTAGACTCCGAAGGCGCTACATACCTATATATAAAGACATTATTAAATAATGGAAGATTGGAATTTCAAATATATAAAAGATGTGAACAAAATGTTTAAAACATACCTAGAGTTGAAGTGTTTCTTAATCTCGTTTTCTTTATCATCATTCTTGATAGTTGCACGGATGTAATCAGCACCTTTATGAATATATTTGAATAGATACTTTACTGATCGCGACTGTCCACACCATTCGACGTTGATATGAGCCATATAAAGCAGTGTGAGGCTCCTATTATAAGGAACCAAAAATCTATTATCACATTCAATACCCTTTTTAACGATAACTTTCTTATCATTACGTCGCCTGTATATAGGATATCCAACATCATCTATTTTAGTGATCGGACTGAATAGTTTTGGAAAATACTTTGTACATTTTCCTTCAGCCATGCAAACACTATCCTTATTCAAAGCACCACATGGCCCATGCATCATGACATCTCCTACTATCTCATACAGCGCTGGATCAATATCCTTGTCAGGAATTTCAGCACATATTATCTTATCAATGTCATCACCTGTTGGTAGCTTGTGACCAGCCTCTAAAAAAAAGAACGACGCGTGCATGAGGTAGTCCCCGTTTTTGAAACTCAATCTGTAGATCGCTGCAACGAATAATTTTTAGTTTATAAAAGATTAGTTAGCATGATCATCTAGCAGTGGTATGGACAATATCTTGCTAAACGAAATAAGATACTTAGTTTAATAAAACATACCAGGTTTTACGACACCAAACACATTTTCTTTGGTGAGTTTGTGCATGAGATCATCTAGTTTCATCTTGAACACTTGTGTACATATATCTGGCCTATCCTCTTGCTTCAAGTTATGTATTTTTAGGTGCCTGGTAATCTCAGGCCATTTGGGATTACACGTAAAGGTTATGAAAAGATCCGGAAAACCAAAATGCTGGCAAGTAGTCATCGCATCTAGATAATGTTGCACCATATACCTTGTACCACCAGTATTAGAAGAAGGTATAATAATACGTTTACCCTTGTCATAAAGATCAGTGTCACCTTCATCAACAGTTTTCTTTATCTTATCATAATTTTCGCAACGAAGTTTAGACTGATTCATTGAAATGAAACGTAGTCTATCAGTCTCAATCATCGTGTATGCATCCACTAAGAACTGCTGGAATAATCTTCCAGATAAAAGGATGATTGGTGACTCGCCAACCCTCTCATGTATGCGGAAAGCAAAAAACTCTCTCATAGTAATATGCAACCTTTTCCTCCCTTCGGTATCTACAAAACCAATATCGATACCAAGTCTGAACCCGTCCTCGCTATAGGGAAACAATAATGGATATTGCAAAAGCAAATACGCAGGATGTAGTTCACTGATCCTTTTGAGATTCCCTGTCTTTTTACACTCGATGATGATATCACGTGAATCTGTCTCATTATCGAAATCATTAGGTATCAATGCAGCAACCTCGTAAGTAGTTGGTAGATTCTCAGTCCATCCATCACTTTTCCTGTCATGCCTTAAAATTATCCTTAACCGGCTTGTATCATCGTTAGGATCAAACCTTTCTCGCATGTTTCGTAATGCATCCACATGTTTGTTATGTTTATCTAGTACATTTTTATTTTCTCAACCACCTTCTCTCGCAATTTATCAGTCGGTCCTGTTTTCCTAAAAAAAATTAAAATAAATTATTATGACAGTTAGAACCACATAACATTTAATAACAATACATATATGTTTTAAAATTGATCTCAATGATTAAATTAAATATAAACCAAAGGAATAATATTCATACCCATAGGCAGCTATTCGGTTAGATGTTTCATTTGCGGTATTATATATATACAGCTGTAAAAAGGCTGGTTCTTTTCCAGGAGCTGGTAGCATATCCCCTATATAATGGTAGTTCTCCCCACTCATCTGGAAAATGTAAGGACCTTTACCATCGTTGATTTCTTTATTTATTTTTCCTTCCAGAGAAGTGAAGGAAAACATCATATTATACGCCCGGATAAACTCACGAAAGTGATCACGCAAATCACCATCATTGTACATCAATGCTAATAACGAACGGAGGGGCTTTAAGAAGTGGAAGAACGACTTTACCCTGACCACAACACATGGAGAATATAGGTTTTCCACATCGATATCGTTTACCCAACCTCTCTCCATACCACATATAAGCCTTACACTTACCACACATATATATAGGATCATCATCATCGTAATAACTTGGTTAGAAAAATATTCATTGATTAGTATTAATTACACAATATTTATATATTATGTATTAAATGAAATATATTAGTCTAATGAAAACCATAACCTCCATCTTTCAGACCAAGACTAACTGATTCCAATAAATCTGTTCTAGTAACAACGGTCTTGGTTGCTTCATCATCACAAGAATCAGAGGATTTAGCACGTTTTTTGGATCTTCCTTTCTTTTTTTTATTACCATAAGTCGGTTTTTTCACATCCTCACTTTCCGACATAGAGTCTTCGCCATTATCCCTATCGGACTCAGAATCAGTAGCAATAAAGCAACCAAACTCTTCCGTGTTGATAGAAGTAACCAAAAATTTTGTTTGTTTTTTTCATGGAAAAAATAGTAAGTATAAAACAGGTATATAATCTACATTGTAATTATTAAAAAAGAAGATCAAACCAATAGCTTCTTCTTTTTTTTTCCTCTCACGCATGATATGCATTCTTCTCTGTTGTGCATTACGAATTCCATGGGGTGTTAGATCAGGAACTTCATCGATATTGTAACGAAACAAACCTCCAAGTTGGTCAATATCGGTTGCACTGGTAGGAGCATATCGTGCGTTCTTAGCATTACCACCTACAAATTCCAGTTAATAATAAGCTGATTTATAACACGTGAATATTTTCAAAATGTAATTTAGTTAAAATCTCACTTTTATTTGGAGCAATCGACGAAGATGAATTTTTTTTCGAGGACGCCCAAGCTTACGTTTCATAGTTTCTGATGAATAGTATGAAAACAAAAAAATGTGTGATCTAACTACACAATCATTAATAAACTCTATATATATAATATTATATTGCGCGATAAATGCAAAATATACATTTTAACTTCTCATAATAAAATGAGATTTTGGTAGTAAAAAGAATTTCGAAATAGAAAACCTCACGATAATGTTAACATTACTTATTCTTCGCGATAATATGCATATATTTCATGCACCATAATACTCCAATATTGAAAATTTACATTTTTCGTGATAATGTTAAAATACTATTGAGATACTTCTACATTACAATAACGCGGACCTATAAATAATTATTTATTTAGAGCTAATCCTAAAAATATACCTCTACATTACAACAAATATATTCTCCTAATATTTTTACGAAAACCGAAAAGATTATTGTCATATTTCTTAGAACTTGAATATTCTCCCAAAAAAATATGGTTATTTAACATATCATCTCAATAAATTATATCACATTTTTTTTCCTGGACAATTATATTATACTTTATTACACAAACGTTTTGGGGATAGCTATGAATATCGAGATCCATACATAAAAATAATAATTAAAAAATATTATTTTCATACACTGCGACAAAAGTCAAATTTTATTCATATCACATACGATGACTAACACAAACCATAAAACTTAAAAATAAAAATCGATATAAAATAATTCCAAAAACATTATCACGGAACTCGTAACATCAAGGTCTAACGACTGGATATCAACTCTTGAAACTGATAGACCTCGAAGCATGGTGAATTTAGAATAACTTGTGTGCAATCATACTACGTAGTTGCCAAGAAACACCCTATATTATCGAACAAACCAAAATCAATCATATTTATCGCATAATATACAACCATCTCATATCAAAAACTAAAAAATACCTCGTCGAACAATTATCTTCGCAAAACGAATGATGCAAATAACGACATCTTGTTTACATCCACCCAACTCACGAAAAAAAGTTTCAGCATAATCACCTTTCAAAAAACATGATAAACGTCGATTCCTAAAGTTTCCCATCAAACAAAAACCAGTCTGAGTTAAACTTAAAAATTTTTTTTTGAATTTTATTAATATAAAATAGATTACCTTTCGTTTTCGAGATCAAATCTTATTATAGGCTGTCTAGAGTATTCTAAGGATCCAAGTCTGAAGAATAAAGAATATTTAAACTATAATTTGTATACATGGTAAATAGTTTTTAAAAATGATATATGCATACCTCAATAAGATGCATCATAACACTATTCAATGTAAATGTCCTACACTACCACGCGTGCATGGCCTCTTACGCGGATATCTGCAGTTTTATAAAAAAGGTTTGAGAAAAAGAAGGTGACCACGGGTTAATACAAAAAAACTCAAATACAATCATTAAGTATTAGAAAAATAAAGTAAAAAAAAAAAACTCACTGTTCCAAAAACTCATCTAACTCTGGAATACGGGGATTGAGTTCGAACTTAATAGGAGAAGAGGACGATATAGTGATCTTGCCTACGTTTATAAAACACATATAGAATCAAAACAATAAAACAGGAAGAATATAGAGACTATAAATTAGTATACTAAAAATACCTCCAAAATAATCAATGACCACCCATCTAAGCACACATACAATGATATCCTAATCACAGCGTTTCCAAGATGCATAAAAGCTTTTAGCCATCTCACCAGATAATTCACAACTCAAATCAACACCACTAAATTAAAACACGTCACACATAATCAGCTAGATAGAACAAATAAAACGACAATATAAAGTTTAAAAACATTCAGCAGACAGTATCGTTTATCCCTCAGACAGAATGTGACAGTTGAATATGCACCCCATATTTCGGAATCACATACATCCTTACATGGACTGCCATATGAAGGAACAGAATGCTCTCCAGACAGTAAACCACACCACGTCCCAGATCGACTTACATTTAAGACCCGGCCTATCAAACCTTCATAAACAATAAAAAGTAAACCATATTAACATCAGCAACATAATAATAACGAAATTCAATAACTAAACCAAAAATAAACACACCAACTAAATAGTCATCATCATGGGCACAGTCCAATATCCTTTGAAAATCAATGAAGTCAAAATAAGCGTCTTCACATCTATGTAAAGTCTTGTCAATGATAGTTGATGGTAGGAACAATATTTTGTATCTATGAGAAGTCGGTCTACAACTATCCTCACAATCGATAACAGAAAAACGACTGATAATAATCCAACTACCAACATCCATGCTAGACGATGCGACACCGATTTCACCATCTCTAAACAGTGGCCTGAATTTTAAAA